ATCAGACGAGGTTTTCGGAAATTCCGCAATGAAGAGCGTTTTTCGTAGGCATAAACTTTAAAGGCGGAGTCCTTATCTTTTCCGATAAATGTTAGACTGTTGTCAAGAGAGGCGCGTACGGGGATACCGCCGAGGAGAAATAAACTTTGGTAACATAAACAAATTCCTTACGTGTTTGACATTGCGTTTACCCGCCTGGATAACAGCATTGGTCTAAGTGCAACGTCACGTGACATAGCGGTGAAATCAGCTGTTTTACAAACACGCCTGGTAGTGACAGCCTACTGCCAGAAGTTTCACGGACTAATTTGAATATTTATTGAAAAAAGTCCGGCATTTTCCGGCATCCTCCCCCTACCTGAGATTTTATGCAAGTCTGTTAGCTGAATAAATTCTTTCCAGTTTTCGAAATGAGAAAGAACAAAGTTTAAAATGCATAAGTTTTGAATGCATAAAGGATCTGTGGGGAAACGCTCAGTAACCACTTGTTTCAACTTCAAAGGGTCGCTGATCGTTGTCAGCTGAGGGTGACAGTGTGTTTCGTGCTGTTTAAACTGTTCAACTCCAGTGCCATCCGTATTCTTTAATTCCTGAATCATTGATTCGAAACTGGAACGGGTGTGACTACTAATCATTTTCATATCGATTCTTGATGATAGTCTTCAAATGACTAGGTGTAATTGATCGAATTTAAGAAGGACGAAATCGGTATTTAGGTTGTCCAAAGTTCTTATCCACTTGTTCGGGTTGTGTTCAGACGAACCACGCTTTTATGGTTCCACTACTTGTTGTGACGACCCTTGTAGATCACTTGTCAGTTCTGTATTGGTTTTGCACTGTGATTTCCGGTCCCCTTTAATAGTGTAACGAAAAGACTGATTCCCAACTCAGCAGTTTATCAGCACGAGTTAAACCAGAAAACGATAGTTTGATTAACATATGCGCTGAATTGCCATCAACGTGTAATAAACTCTGACCCGTTCTCAGGTTCCCGTATTCCGAATGTGTACCTTGTTTGCTCATGTGTTCTCCTGCTCACCGGGACATTGGATTCCGGTGCACACCTGTTTGTCTGACTACACCAGATGTCGGGATGCAGTACCGAAACTTGTTATATCGCTGGCCAGACTGCCGAACCAGTTTTGCTCGACTCCATAGCTTCTTCGTGCGTCTCTTTCACCGCCTCAGTTCCTTCAGGGTAGACTGGTTCGCCTACGTGAACTGGTATCCATTTGTCAATGTGGCGATCAGCTTTTGAACACCCGAATCCCGATCAAAATATTCAGTTAGTTCTCCTCCCCTGTACCCCCGAGTAAGGGGTACGCGTGCCGACGAAGGCATGCCACTGTGCTTGGTTATAGGTACGGATTTCCAGGGTAAATTTCAACATTTCAACATTCAAGGTAAAAGTAATATTTATTGATCGGTTAAGGAGTTATGAGGAGTTCAACTGAAAACATTGTTCTGTAAGTGATTCCAGTCTATGCTGAAAGCAGCGCGAGTCTCTCACACTGCTGTTACACAGTTAGATGCTCAACCTTATAATCGGAATGTCGCGGGTTCGAATCCACCCACCTGGTTTCGTGAGACGCCAACTGCTGATGCTTCCCAATAAGGATAAAAAAGCCGCACAGCTTCATTTACAGGACAAAAGCTCTATTGAAAACGATACACTGCATTCTGGGGCGGTGTGTCATCCTCAGAGCCTCATGCAAGGTTGATTTCCGTAAAAAAAACCTTACAGACTGTCAATCATTCATGCAGTATGTGGTTACGAAGCCATGCGGTTCGTACACTTTCATGATCGAATGACTTTTCTGAAATACAATCTTCATGGTATCTACTACTATTCTCGCTTCGTTTTTCTGAGCCTTTAAGATGGCAGGGAGGTTAGAACGGCCATGAGTCATTGCACCAGTCGTATTGGTTACGCCACGAACAAAGTGAGGTTTAGTCACTGAGTACCGTGACTCTTGAACGGTCTTCTTTGAAGAGTACTTCAAAAGTTTTACTCAGAATAAATCTTAAACAAAAGTATCCATACAATGTACAGAGAAGCGAGTTTTCCTCGCTAACGCCGCATTTATGGAAAGGTGATTGTGAAAACCTGGTGGTTGGCGAAAACGTATCAAGCAAGTGTTTGGTGACCTTGAGAGGACACTCATAAGCCACACGTTCTCCGTAGGCTCCGCTTCAACAGGTTCAAATTTTGCATTGGAACGCAATTCACTGCTCATCTTCATCTTTTAGAGTGGCTTACTCCATGACCTATACGCTGCATGCAGCAGATATCCGGCGATTAGTTACACATGACAAATTTTTGAAGTTGAACATGTCGCCATGGTGATAACAAGCTGTTCATCGATCCACTTTGCCTTCAAAGCAACGACAGTGCAGACAAACATGAGGGCATGGAGCTCCATCTGAGGCAACTTTAAGCGTGGTGAAGGTGTCCGATCACAGCGACTGCTTCACATCAGTAGAACTTCAACTGACCTTGATGTGACTTTCCATCTTCCAGATTTACACATGCATCAGGGCCGCAATAAACACAAAGTCAAGGCTAGCCTAATTTGTTTGCCAGAAGGAATAGGACGTTACTCAGTAAAGTCTTATCGACTCTTACATAGATGAAGCTACGGAACCTAAATAAGCAACTGAACATAGTGGAGAAGCGAATCTGTACACGAACACAACGTAGATTTCCGGGGTTCGAAACAACTGTCGAGAAACGGGATGCAACCGGTCAGAAGTTACCAGGACGTGTTGCCTATTCCGAGGTCTACACAGCTGACAATATCACGTTAATTTTTGATACTGCAAAAAAGTACTCACCGTTACTACATACCAAATGAGAAGGTTTTTTCCTCCCCAAGTAATTTCAGTGTGGTGTTTACGAAATTATTTTTTACCTGAGTCTTTGCTAAAAATCTGGACCGTGGTGGGAAACAAAGGTGATGGCGTTTAGGATGGTACAAGTTTACTCATCAAGTAACCTGTTCTCAGGTGCACCTTGGCATGATTCGTGGAGTTGCGTTGCAGTGCGCTGAAAGGTACTTACACCCTTTCGGTGCCTAGCTGCCATGCCACCCGAAGGAACCACGGGGGCTGGGAGAGCTCCAAACCCAGTCAGAGGAAGTCGAGAGACGGAGGTCGGGTTCGAACCACGGACCTTCCGGTCAGGAAATTCGCGCTCTAACCACTTGAACTATCTCATCAGGTAGTCTAATCGTCCACGATAAATGTATCATTTGGGAACATAGTCTGGTATGTGGCCCATCACATCGACGAACTTGGTCTTTTCCGTTGCCGATATACAACATCAGTTGTATCGTCTACACCAAACGGTGTGCTGAGAAACGCCTGTGCCCAAGGTAAGTGGGTCGACGCCTTCTATCGACCTGTCATGGAATATGTTGATCCCAGGACAACCATCGAGAACAGTCAGCTGCTGTGAACATTTGTCTATGTGATAGAACTCAGTACCCAGCCTAAGAAACCTGTGTTGATGAAGTCCAGTTTGACAACCACGCATATTCCATTATAATTAGGACTCAGTTACTTCTCGTCGTGCAATTTGACATATGATTTTGGACATCCAAAACAGTTACTCATCTCAACTATGAAGGACCTTTGAACTCAACTCTGGTTCGCTATGACTGGTTCGTACATTCAAAAAACACATGGTGCGGAGAACGCACCACGTGATCAGATCCAATCTACAGCCTGCCTGATCGATTTCGACTCATCGGCCTTGAGATCCTGACGGAACGATATTAGGAAGTGGGTCGCGATCCTAATTTTCAGACAGTTCAGTCAAAATGTCACTCAGTGGCTTTTAGAGGGACAATGAGCCATAACAAACGTGTCGTCAGATAATCCCGTGGCCAACCAATTCAGGAATCATGTACATTTTACGAAAGCTAGCGCAAATTTTGTAACTACAAACAACCGATGAAGATTTCATCCCGAGGGGTATTTCCTTTACCCAGTCCTCATGGTGAAACAAATGTCTGGGTAGTATGAATTCTTATACCAATAAATATTGATTGTTATTCTCAATCTATTGGCCCACAAGACATTTTGTGCATGCTGGAATACCAGCCCATACCGTTTTGTTTGAGCTTTATACACATCGATCTAGGAGTGGGCGTATGTCCAGACAGGCCGGCAATTCGCCTGCCGAATCTAGAAACACTCAATGACCGGATCGCCGTTGAGTTTTGGTGATAAACAAGAGCACTGCGGTCAACACAGTCTTGGATGTCAAACACTTGATCGTGGTGCAATGCTTAGACACTAATTCCTCCGGAGCATTGTCTGAATTTGAAAAAAATATCAGGTGTTGCTGAGCATAAAAAATAATTCATTAGTGTTCCATAGGCTTCTGCCTTCTAGCCACTGACCATCTACCTTCCAAAGCTCATTAGTCACGTCGTGTGGGTCACGCTGATAGATGGGAACGAAGTTTTGAACCCCGACCAATCAACTCAGTATTGCTGGCGGCTGGTACTTTCCTGAATAGGGCCTCCTTACTAGGTGCACCGTTGACTGTTCAAACTGACCTATCTAGCTCAGGTACGCAATAATCCCCCAGGAGTTAACATTAATCCGACATTGCTAACTTGGGAACTTCTAGTGGGGATTTCAGTTTTTCCAGTGGTCCTTTTCCAGGTTAACTTTTGTCCCGAAACCAAATGCTGTTGTTTCATACTCATCAGAAGGCGGATCTTCACACAAGCCTTGTTGTTGCCACTCGGTTATGGCTTCAAGCTGCGAACCTATGGGCCGTCATAGTACTCCGCTCTGATTGGTCCATATTTCGACCAATCAGAGCATGGGTGCGGTTAGCCACTGGATAGTTACTCGTCTACCGGCCGAACGACATCTGTATGCCCATTCTCAGCTAATTTGTCCACCCACAGACATCGCTTTAGAAAACTCAAGTAGCTTAATGCTGAAAATCACTTTATCGTTTGTCCACATCAGACATTGCTGGACGAAAATACTTACGGTTCGCATGCATATCCTGAGTGATGGCGCTTGTGAGCCTCATAAAGAGAAGAGATGTTTGAAAGTGTTTTGGCCAAATGCAAAATGAATACAAGTCACGAATTACGAACCAGTCATCACAATGCGTCAATGCTTTCGAGTGAATTGATAAATTATTAAACATGCTGAATTCAAATCAACGGCGGACGACACGACTCAGCTCAGAGCACCAGCTGGAAATTCAGTTTGAATGGTCTCTTGATGGGTTCTTTGATGCTTTTGAGTTGGTTTTCCGGCAGCGCTCTGAGTTCCACGAAACACTGACCATCTGACGAGTCCACTGCATACGAGTAGGGATTGAGCACGGTACGTAGACAAGAATGACGCGTGCCTGTTGCTCCTGCTGAGGAAGCCGACATGCCAGAATGAAAAGGTGTTGGTCGGTGATAATGTCTGCCATGCGTTCGTTGATCATATGTTTGCTCGTCATGTAGCAGGGTGATTGCAACCCCCGGGACTTCTGGCTCCAAGTAACATCTGTATGAGCAGGAAATGCATGGGTGGTCAGCGAATAGAATGACAAAAGAGGGTTGAAAAGTTGGTCGTTTTCGTTAGCTGTTCGATGGGTGCGAATCCCATCGATTCACCACCAGTAAAGCCCGATCTACATCTGTGTAGTTCAGTGGTCCGCCTATAAGGCTGCATTTAGCACGATGCTTGCGGGGTTTAGGTACAAAAACAACAGACAAAATGGCGATTTGATGTAGAGATTCGTGGGCTCTAAAGTGATTCTATTGACGACCTTCAAATTTTTCACTTTGAAGTAAATCGCTGTCAGTAACAATTTGTTTGAAACATAGGTTAATAGAGTATGCATAATTGTTCTGGCCTCAATTATGCCCAGAAATTCTTGTAAACTGTTTCAGTTCATCCTATCGGTTTCCTATTCCAGCTTGTACTCTTTGTGATGAATCTAGATCGGGTTCCAATAGAGGAATTTTTAGTGCATAGGTAAGCAAGTAAGTGAGTAAGTAAGTGGATGAGAGAGAGTGAGTAAACAAATCAATAAGTAAACATGACAAGTTATCACTAAAAAGCTTGTACTGTATTGACGTAGTAAACTACTCCTAAAGTTACTGAAAATTCTTCGACAGCCCACGACCGCGTTCGCCCTTCTTGGAGCTCGTCATAAACGAGGGATTCTGCTGAATCCCAGGTGAGTCTCTCGGAAAACCAAATAGGTATGCAAGCAAGTGTATTTCGCTAATTTCGTGTGATTCAGGTTCAAGTAGAACGTAAGGTTGACGGAATCTGGGAACTACGCCAACCTGATAAGTCCCAAGAAGGGCGAAACCGGCCGTCGGCTGTCGAAGAGTTTTCAGCAACCTTACGAGTAGTACGTTAAAAATATATACATTTATCACGATATCTTGAATATCGTAGCGACTGAAACGTGAGGCGGCCTGATGCAGCACATTCAGTTGCCTGAAAACATCACAAACGAGAGATTCGGGTGGGTTCCAGGTGAGTCTTTCGCAAAAATCAAATTAGTTTGCAACTGAGTGGATTTCGCCAATGCCTGTGCATCTAAACTGGGACCCAATAACTTGGAAAACTTCTCGAGGTCAGAATCAAACCAAATTCACCGGATTGCTTTCGCATCATTTTGGTACCATCAGATGCACTTTCTATGTGGGTATGACCGTTAGGTTACAGTAACCATAGCGCATAGGTTGTAAGCGAAAGTGCACGAATCCATCCGGACTATATTGCATACAAACAGGTGAAAAACTGTAAGATATAAAGTGCAAACCAGGTGCAGTTGTGGGTGGAAACATGTGTAAAACATAATTTCTCGCATTAACCAGAGATACCTCATTTGTGGCCAGATTTTTTTCCACCGAGAAGTCGATAACGTTCGATGAACTAATAATTCAGAGTGTACTTTCGCGCTGCACATCATCACAGTGGATCATCAGAATCCATACATTGCGTAGTTTTACCTTAGACTGGATTTTTAAGGTTCGTGGGACAGGGAGCTTCCAGTCTTTGAAGCTACCGTCTCCTAGAGTGTTGATTCATTCTTTTGATTGATATTTCATTCTGTAACTGAAGAGTTCAGAAGCATTCTGGGCATTCTGTTGGGAAGCCTAAGCAGTGCAGACCTCACGAAACTCCAGCTGGAGTCCGAAAACCGCATGTCTGCACATTCCACACGTGCGTGGGGGTTAAACATGTTTTTCGTGTGGCCTAGATGACTTGAAAAACCCATGATATCCAGAAATGACTCACCCACATCTAAGCTAGCAGTCACGTGACGGACTGGCGATGGTCCAATGATAACGTCCAATTAGGTGAAGGTTTACAGTTCGACTGTTTGGAGAAAAAAGTTGAGAATTCTAATCCCGGCTTGTTTGTTTTCCAGCCAAAATTGAATTCGTCGCCTCCACGTTCTCTTTTTTTCAACTGTCATTTGAATGGTGTGCGTGAGTGCGCACATACGTGTGAGTATCGTACGGTCATCTAATCTATCCACAATTAGCTCTGGCGTACGTCGCCACGGTAATTAGTCTGTGGTTAATACAACGCTGCCGCAGGGGCCATACTACTTTAGTCCCAAAGAATGCGGTCGTTATACAGCAAGTGGTGGCAGCATAAGCCAGAAACAGATTTGAGATACGACCGTATGCAGGTGGTACATCCATCCTAGTTCCTTTCACTTGTTCTCTGGCTTCTTTGACAATGTCGTCTTGGTGATGAAACCGGGAAATTTCTTCTAACTTGTCTTTCGATGACAGTTTGTTACCCGTACTTGGCGTAGATTTTTGCCAGGGTGCGACTGCAAAACAGGATTACCGAATAAGCTGAATAAATCAAATCGTTTTCAGGTGAATCTTGTCAGGTGTTCAACCGTTTCCAGCACCTTTCCGGCCTAAAATATTACATACTTTCTGTATGCGTCTAGTCTTGTTTTATTATCCATTCCCTTTCTGAATCATTGTATGAAGCACTAATGAAATGTGCGAGTTCTATCTATCTACTACTTATAAGTAGTTATCTTAATATCTGAAGTGTGGTTTTTGGCGAAGCATAGGTACCCCTTCTGGAGGACGGACCAATCATGATGTGCTGAAGCGAATGACGCAGTGGTTCGTACTGATTTTGGAAGCATTTTCGGGTGAAGCCGGCTATGCTGATAGGTGGTATCACATTCTGAACACTTGCGTCGGCTATGAGTAGCACTCATTCACCTCGAGTGGATCCTGATTAGCACTCACCACAGAATTTGTTCTCACGGGAATCGCTAAGCGAGATATATACATCTAGTAAAAAAAGAAGACTGATCATGTTATGAATAGCACTCAGCGTGACAACAGACCATCTTTTTTGGGGTAGAAGAAACCAAACGACTAAACTTTTCGACCCCGAAAATATTTGGCTCACGCGTAAACAAGATCATATCCGGTTAGGCGGTCAATGAACAATCAATGTTATCCGAATTTTCGATTTGTCGAATGCCGAACCTACACGTGAAAGCAGTGGCTAACATTTCTATTGCTATTTTGGCCGGCAACAAGGATGTTCAGTAGAAAAATAAAAACAAAACTTTGATTGTCGGATGTAGGACGCCCTGTATCGTCAAACGGCTGTGCTCATCCCAATGTGTCCGGTTAACGTTTGACAACTGGTCTAACGGGCACCCCACCAACTTGAATGGATGTGTTTCACGAAGGCCATCTCATTCCGGATGTCTTAGTATATTTTCTCGAAGGAGACTCTCTGACAGCCCAAGAGCGCTTTTGTTTTTTCAGAGCTCATCAGGTAGAGGCAGTCTTTGAGCTTTCGGCAACCTTGTGTTGTACGAAATTCTTGAACTGAACTCATTTGCAACCAATTTAGTTTTTGCTAGAGAACAAAACCTAACTGGACCTCTCTTTTATGATGTTCCTCTTCAGTTGGATGTGCTATACTTAAGATATCGCGCTATGATCTCTAGCCTAATGAAAAACTACTTATGGGGTTTTTGTTCTGGTAGTCGTCAAAACGAAAGTTTTCCGCCGAGTGGCTGCACACTGGTCCATATTCCTCAATTCCGTTTGCGATAGACTCGCAAGAGACCAAAAGTGGGAGCTTCTGGAACCTAGGCGTCAAATACTGGTTGAAATTCAGCCCGGTTCCAGGTGAGTCTCTCGCAACGCCAGATTTATCTGCAAATGGATGTTGTTCACTAATTTCGTGCAATTCGGCTTCAAGTAGAACATACAGTTGCCGGAAACTCGGGGACTGCGCCTACCTGATGAGCCCCGAGAATGGCGAAACCGGTCATGGGTTGTCAGAGAGTTTTCAGCAACCTTATGAGTAGTAAATAGTTTCCAAGGAAGATCCCAAAATAGCACATTCGATAAAACATGGAGGTTGCAGGCAAAGGTTTCCAAAAGGACTTAAAAGGCCTATATGATAATAAAGTACTATAAACTGGAATTCTTCCGGTGACTCGATAGTGAACATTACATCTGCCTACTTAGGCGTCTCGGCGAACTTATGGCTTGGAACCCGTTGGGAATCGGTGGCTGGTTTTTGTCAGATTTTTTTAGTGGGCGGTGGTCTAGGCCAGAGACAAGAAGTGTTTGAACGTGGTAGTTTTGTAAACAGAGCGTAGGCAAGTAAACACAGTTGGATGACCTTGAATTTTTTGTACAGCATGAACAGCCTCAAGCAACATTCCCGAGCTGTATGGGTGATCAATTTCTAGAACATGGAAGCTGATACAGCTATCCACCTTTTTTCCTAATATCTGGCAGGATCCGCTGAAATCATCATCGCTGGCTTTGACTGTTATCACTTGTGTGGAGGCCGCAGTTCGATTGGCGATTTACTGTGGATGAGATTGCCAACCGATCTTCTGGAGTAGGTCTGCCTGCAGACAAACATAAGTTTGAGAAATGTTTTCCGAAATGTATGTAAAATTGTGGCTCACTTCACTTGTTTTAGGGCACATTTGTTCCTATGAGGATGTGGAAACAAGCTGGTTGACTCAGTGTATTCCGACGTCTCTTGAGCTAGTGGTATTCAAAAACGGACGAAATAAGTTTGCAACGAAATCCAATAGTTTTCAAAATAAAAAATGTCTTATCTCGAAAGAAATGACTTCTCTCCATTATGACAGTGCCGAAAGCGTGTTTTATCCTTGTATCGATTTTATCGATCGTATCGATTTTCAGCAGAGCTGAGTAGCCGAACGATGCAGTGTCATAGTTGAGATGCGTTCACATCAAACGACTGACTATATTCACAATGAACAGGAGAGTTTTAAGTATTTTTGGAGGATTTTACCGTCAACTGATCTTATTGGACAAATCCTGGTTTTCAGGATGACAAATTGGAAGAAACTACCCGGCTACTTTGCAAAATACGCTAAGTTTCAAACAACAAAGAAACTAACGAGTGATTCAATTAAGTTTTTCATCTCTGATATTCTTCACTTGAATGCCGGTCTAGTGTTTCGTTCGCGCGATTTTTACGATACCAAACGTTAG